GTCGTCTACCTTACTATCGGAGTGACTGAGGGTGAGTAAAATCACTTACTACACTTTTATTACTCTTACTGATTGCCGTGTAGACTAATCACTTGTATAACTCTACAGGTAATATATCAGTCGTCTACCTTACTATCGGAGTGACTGAGGACTAATCACTTGTATAACTCTACAGCATGGCTTCATCTCATCACCTGTGCTCTGGATATTATATCCGCAGTGCTTGGCACGGTTTGTATAGACGGGTAAATCAAAGTCCAGCCAGAAACTACATTTACTCAATCATTTCTGAATCCAGCTTCACCTCTCAAGAGTTAGCAGATTTTCCTAAAGTCACACAAAATCAAATCTGCTGACTTTGAGTCCTAAATCAATAGCATGAAGGGAAGTTTCTTGATGCGAGTGTAGACAGTCATTGAACATTGAACATAGCAATCAATATCCACAATGTGAAGTTCAAAAACTCTGGCATGGTCAAGAATCAGCCTTCTGAAATGAAGACATTACCATAACCAGCCCATCTTGTCACCTGGTTGGGGTACAAAAAAAGCAAATCATTTGCCAAATCTGGATACTTGCTTTTCAAGTCAGGGTCTGTTCCGGATTGAGGAACCATTCAGTCCCACAACGTATGTGTCATGGGCACTGCAACTCCGAGTGAAGAATGATCAGGCTGTGGATAAACACTAACTCCCGGTGCCTTTTTTCAGCCATGATTTAGAGAACGTATAAATAGCGCTTGCAACGAAAGCTCTTCCAACAGAACATTTCATCTTCAGCGTATCCGACTCACCTATCTACTCACTTGTGAAGCTCACCAACATGACCGACCTCCCAGTCCCCCCGGGTTATCCTCTTGACCCAGCCCCAGTAGATCGCGACATCGAGAGTGAGTCTGTTGTGTCTGTTGTCTTGACCTAGGACTCTAAGACTAACTCGCATGTTTTTCATATAGGTTTCCCCCGTACGTTACCAGAGTTACACGGAATTCACGTTCAGATCCATGAAACCTCTTAGGTGCAATTTCATCTCTCGACGGAGTAGTTCAAAAGGTCGATGTATCAACCACTTTCGGCCGAACATTTGGATTCATTGTCGGGCATGGCGACAGAAAAGTTGCCATTGACAGGCTCGAGGTTAATACATTTCATCGAGATCTATCCAGCACATTCTGAATATGCCCAGATTCACTTCACTGATCCGAATGTCGAAAAAATCGAGATGACAGCCATATTCCAGCTGCCGTTTGGCACCCCGGTCTTGGTGAACAGTGTCGGCGGTTACCTTACGGAGTCATCATCCATTGCCATGGAGCTCAACGCAAATCATGGCCCCGCTAATTTCATGGTATGCGGTTCGATGAGAGTCAAGAGGATCGGCGGTCAGGCCATCTTCTCAATTTCTGTGAACATTGCAGGAATTACTTATACTGTCAATGAGTTATTTGTCTAAGTCCGAACGGTGATCTCTCTTGTTTCACTTCTGCGGAAGATGAGTTCATGACTCTAATGTAGATCTGCCAACTTATGCCACCCATTCACAAATCTATCATCGAGGGCGTTCGACCAGTTGTTAAGGACACCCCGTAGTTCCAACCTGGGTTCTGTCTATTTTGTAATCCAGATGTTAATAGACTGGTTCAGTTCAATACAATCATCTCCTTCAGACAAGTACTACACGTAGCGCGACTTCAACATCAAGTACCAGGAAGAAAACGTTGGATGCAAGTAACATGAGGCCCTCAACATCAGACAGGCACTTTCCCACTAGAGCAGGCAGAGTCGTCACAATGAAGTACAAGTGGCAAAGGCATGCAGGTCGATCACGTCGCAACTTGACGTATAATCAGCAACCACAGCGTCAGCGTTGCAGCATGCAGATATCGACAAGTGACCCCAATCAAAACATGGATATCCTGACACGAGTATCCACACAAACCGTATGCGGCACATACCAGACAAAAGGAAAAAAAACCTCTTTGCCTGGGAGTCGAACCCAGCTTTCGCGCGCAATAATCAAGATGACAGGCGCGTGTACTAACCGATATACTAGCAAAGACAATTTGTCAGTGTACCGAGACAATCGATCTCACTGAGCAATTGGTTTTCGAGGCAGTGGCCATTCTTGATAAGTGAAGTCAAAACAAAGTTTTTACGCCACCAATGAAAGAATCTAAGTCAAGTTTGCGGCAAACAGTCACGTGAAGACCTAGAGAGGAGGCGGCGGTGGAACCGTTTTGCACTTTGCGGAATTTGCACTTCGACCGTCTCCCTCTAGGTGAGGCCCACTAAAATACTGGCAGAACTTCCGCTGATGAACCAGAGAAATAGTTTAATTTTTGCCGCAAACGGAGTACATACATTAGTTTGTCAGAACTCTACCGAACTTCGTACATCGGACCAGTCCTCATCTTACTCTGGAATCGCTGCTACATGAGCGTACATGGAAGAAAAACCGTCCCGCTTCCCACCGAGCAGTCCGGGGAATCGGTCACTCAGACCACCGGTCAATTGGAACAGACTGCCCTAGGAGAAAGTGGAGAGGTCAATGCCTCCTCCGACACCCAGACCCCTATTACTCCGTCTGGGTCCGAGCGCGCCATCGTCGAACAGTTGGAGCAGTGCATTGAATTATTCAGATGCGGAAAATGGTCTAAGCCAATTGCCATCACCACAATCGTCAACGCCGCAAACTCCAGCAATATCCCTGCCGATGCCAGACAAGATACAATCAATAGCTACCTCGCGCTGCTCGACGACATCGAAAAGAAAGCCAAGTCCTTGCAGGAGCGAGCGAGATGGTGTCAAACGACCCAGACTGTCGCTGGAGCAAGCCCAGGCGCTGAAGGAGATGCTGGAGACAGTGATACGAGGGTCGTCCAAAAATAAAAAGAATAAATATGGAGCTGAAAACCGTAAGCTCAAAAGATGCGTTGAAAACCATAGACGGGACGTACCAGCATAAAAAGGAGCCTGTGAACCCACATCATCGACGGAAACAACCTGTCGACAAGACGACAGGACGTCAAAAGTCAGTTTCTGATGGCACAGGCAATTGCCAGGTGATGAGATCAATGATTCATCACCCTATCATGATCTCGACGTGTTGGCAAGGGATCACGGGGCGCAGAGCAACACGTGACCCGACACCGCCACCGCAGAGGGAAATGATGGGACTGTACAGTAGGAGAATAATGGTCGGATTTGGAAGGTCGGAAACCCCAGTTGTTACTACACCAACTGAGGTGAGAATCTACTTACACTTACTACCATACCAATCTAACAGCCCATTAGTACACTTGTACTTAACAGGTAGATCACTAATATCAGTTGTTACTACACCGACTGAGTACACTTGTGCTTAACAGGCTATTGGCCCTGTGCCACTCAGTAGACCCTATGACCCCAGAATTTTTTTTTTTTACCCAAACCTGAAACCAGACCCCAGACCCCGACATGTCCCAGAACACTGCACTGTTTCTGCTACCTGCAGAAGAAAAATTCAATGGATCAAACTGGACTACCTTCAGGATCACACTGACTGAAGCAGCATGCAGACACGGACTGCTGGGTTACTTGGATGGTACTATCAAGAACCCAGTTAGGAACAGGGAGGAGGTAAAACCTGCACCCACCACCGCCACTACATGGTGGGGAGCGGCAAACCCTGCAGATGAGTGGCCTCAGCATGATGCTTATGGGAGGAGCATGATCATACTGAACATCATGAATTCTGTCAGTGCAAGAGTGAAGATGGACAGCACTGCTGCAGAGGCATGGTCGTCCATCACATTACTGAATGATGCCAAGTCAGACCTAGGCCTGATACACACCAAGGAAGAGCTTACCTCAATCAAGTACACCAATGGATCAAGCATCAAGGCCCACTTCCAGGTGTTGCGCACGGTGTGGACCAAAGCCAATGACCAAGGTGCTGACATCACCAACAGGAAGTTCAGAGCATACATCATTTAAGTCAATGCCCAGCTTGTGGGCACCAGTGACTGAGTCCCTAATGAATGAAGCAACATCGGCAGATGTAATAGTGCAATTGACAATACACACACTCTTACTCCATGGGCATCTGCAATCACCCCTGCAAAGTTCACACAGGCTCTGATTATGCAGACCTCCAGGCACAATAACAAGAGTGTTGTGTGCTCAAACACAAACTGTGGATGCTCTGGACACACAGTCACAGACCACACCAGCACCAGCAGCTAACATTACAACTCTGGCTGCGCCACAGGCCAACTCTGCTATAGCATTGGCCGACAACACAAGCAACATGTGTTGCCTGGCCTTCTTGACTACAGTGGGGAGCGATGCAGCACCTGGACAGATGGCATACACTGACTCGGCTGCAAGCAGACATTTTTTTTGCCAATTGCATGGACTTGATCACCTACAGCCCACCAGAACTTAACTGCAGAATGGGCGCCATGGCTAGCGGTACATTTGAGATTAAGGGCCTCAGCAGAGTCAGAAAATGGGTGAAATTTGAAGGGGAAGTACTAGAAATCACCTTTGAAAAAGCCTTGCACATGCTGGCCCTACAACATGACCTGGTCTCAATTGGTTCTTTAGTATACAAGGGGGTGAAACTTGGCATTGACGGGGGTGGTGCAACATTATATGCACCTGACAGCTGCCCATTCATGAGGTGCCCAATGTTCAGGACAATGTTTGTCATTGAATTTGTTCCATCCCATCTGACTGCATGCATTGCCAGATCCCTCATCCACCCCACCAATCTCAGGACATGGCACCGCTGCATGCTGCACGTTGCTGAGAGCATAATCAAGGAAATGTTGTGTGAAGCCATGGTGGATGGGATGGCAGTCACCAAGATGACATCACAGGGCAGATGCAAGGACTGCATAATGGGTAAGCAGACCCACTGATGACACCCAAAATTGTACCTAGTGGTGTCGGAGTAGGCAATCACAAGGCAAGTAGCGTCGGGCTTGCTAGTGGAGGTGAGCCAGGCAGAGTCCTAAAAGACAAGTTAGCAGAGGACAGCGGTAAGGGAGTGGTAAGGTGTTGCTTAGTGTAGTTGCCAAGTGTACAATGCTTGCTGCTGTTGCAAGGTGCGTAAATGACTAGGACACTGGCGTATTTCTAGTGGCAAGACAAGGCCACCATACAAAAGTGCTCTTGGTGTAGAGTAAGCTTAAGAAAGGCAAAATTGAGCTCTGAAGCCCAAGCGTAAGAGGTAAATGGT